TAGTTGTATTTTATCTACTGGGTATATTGTATTACCGTAATATATATCTAAAAAAGAGAATATTACCCGAATAGGATTAAAAAAGTTTGAAAATTCTAAAATAAAACTGTCAAGTTTTTTTTATTATTAAAATATGACAAATTACTGCCATGTTTTGACAGTACCAGATTTCAAACATGATAGTATTTTATAAACTTGGCAGTAATTACTCACATTTTGAAAATAAAAACATGACAATCATTTTTTAAAATTTTCAAACTTTTTTAATCCTATTTTGAAATTTTCCTTATTTAAAATCAAGGTAAGAAGAGGTCTTCTCCGTAATGTCTGTATTACGCCAGGAATACTTTCAAAGAGTGTACGTATCTGGACAACTATATTCTCATATTCCACCATTTTCCACCGCATATCTTTAACCACACCCAAACACCCTTTATCTCGTTTTTTAAACGTTGGAAATATTTTTTTATTTCCCCTGTTCTCTCTCTCTCTATCTCTAACATATCTCTATCTTTCTCTCTCTATATTATCTATACAGCTTTTGTTATCTAGCGTAAAGACACTTCTTCAATCCGGAACCGCCCTCCGACTGAAGGACCGTACCATTTTCTTCTGTTGCTTTCGGATCGTCTGAGAAACAGAGAAGCTGGAATTTCTGTCTTCCGGGTGGTAGAAAATTGGGATCTTTTTCACCGGTTAATCTGATCCGACCCGGCCGGGGGTTTGCGGGTCATGACTCGGAGGTGCTCGCATTGCAGCAACAACGGGCACAACTCCCGGACCTGCCCGAACCGAGGGGTGAAGCTGTTCGGCGTCCGATTGACTGATGGGTCGATCCGGAAGAGTGCGAGTATGGGTAACTTGACCCACTATGCCACTAGCGGCGGCGGCGGCGGCTCCACTCCCAATAATGGCGCCGCCCATGAATCCCCGGATCACCCTGCCGCCGTCGATGGGTATGCCTCCGAGGATTTTGTTCCTGGATCTTCCTCCAGTCGGGAAAGAAAGAAAGGTCAGTGATTGGTTTCAGTTTTTAATTCTTTCATCAAATATGTGTAGATGGCCTGATTTTTAGCATAATTGTATGCAATATTCCTAATTTAATCTTGGAATCTTAGAATAAATCATCTATAGAGAGTGGGATTGGTAGATTTTTAGCACTGTTCTCTTTATGTGTGTTTGTACATATAAGTCTATATTATCATCATTATTGATGGTCTTGTTATTATTTTTAGACGGAACTTCAAAGGGATTTGTCTAGTTGCACAGAATATTTTTGTCAAAATTTGTTCCCCTTTACATTGAATGAATAGTAATAGTTTGTCTGGGAAAGACTGTATCTTTTGCCATATAGGAAGTGTGTTTCTTTGCTGGTGGATAATTAGAAGCTTGGAGTCCTTCATAAGGGCTATGTTTAGCATTCAGGTTATAAAATTCTCCAAATCCAACTCTCTAGTGTAGGGGTAAACTTGTTTGGATGTAGGACATTAAAGCCTGAAACTGAAAGAAAGTTAGTTGAAAAGTTAATATTTTTAGTTTCTGGTTCCTACCAAGTCATGGTGAGTTGAATTTCCCTTGGGTAAGATTTTTTTCATAAAATTTACCGTGCATTAAAACTTATTCCCTTTGACATATTTGTACATGTTTCCAATTAGCTTTTCAGCTTCCTTGCCAAAAGGCCCTACTTCATATATATAGTAAATAGATCCAGTGCAGATTTAGACCATAATTATGGCATTAGCTTCCATCTACAGCTTGTTGAGGGAAACAAACCCAAACTGATACTTTAAAAAGCTCATTAGTGATTTGATGTCAATTAGGACGTATTAATGACATTTAGTAAAAATAGTAATGATATTTCTTTGTATCATAATATGTTTGGTAGTAAAAAGTGTTGATTATTCTCACTACCTTTTGGAAGTATTCCAATTTTGTGAAGGTCCACTTCTTATTTTGAATCTTTTACCTACACCATTTGTGTATAAAAGAATGGTGAATTATGCCAACTAGTGGGGATTAATTTTTCACAGCCTTGCTAGTTGCTTCTTTGGCTATTTGGGTGTTTCATATGGCTGTCTGATGATTCTTGATTATGTTCGCGAACAATATAGAATAAGAAACGTCTTCTATCATTTCTGAAAATATCTCTTTTCTTGTTCAATTGTTTATAGGTAAAGTTTCATCTTTACATTGCAGGTATTCCATGGACTGAAGAAGAGCACAGAATGTTTCTTCTTGGTCTACAAAAGCTTGGTAAAGGGGATTGGCGTGGAATTGCACGTAATTTTGTGATTACTAGAACTCCCACACAGGTTGCAAGCCATGCTCAAAAATATTTTATCAGGCAAAGTAATTTATCAAGGCGTAAAAGACGCTCCAGCCTATTTGATATTGTTGCGGATGAAGTAAGATTATTATTAGTTATTATCCTTGTTGGCTTGTTATTATTTTCCTATACATAACTTGTTATATACTGTCCTAGTCATACTGATGTAAAACTGAACACAAGTAAACACTCACTCTTGATTACCACCATAGCCACAATGCGGTAAAAGTGTAAAACTTTAAAAGGCACTACTTTTTGTCCATTACATTTGTTTTAGTCATATATCTGTCACCCCTGATCACCACCTTTCACACATATATAGTGTAGACAGTGAAAATAAGCTGCTATTTTCTTAAAGGGACTTTTCATCCGTTTTTGCAGCCAGTCGACACTCCAATGGAATCTCATGATTTCATGTCAACCAATCATCAAGAGACGGAAGCACAAACCGATAATCCACTATGTGATCCACCTCCTCCTAACGTGGTGGAAGAATGTGAATCCTTGGGTTCAGCCAACTCCAACAACGATGGAGACACCATGCTTCCCATCTCAGAGAGCTCCCCATACACTTACCCAGTCGTATATCCTGCTTATGTGACCCCTTTATATCCTTTGCCCATTCCTTATTGGCAAGGGTATACCTGTCCAGAGCCAACAACCAAGGCCGAGCGGCACGAAGTGCTCAAGCCCACGGCAGTCCATTCCAAGAGCCCTATTAATGTGGATGAGTTAGTTGGGATGTCAAAACTGAGCTTGGGAGAACCGCCAGCTGTATCTTTGAAACTAGTTGAAGGGTCAACAAGGCAGTCGGCCTTCCATGCTAAACCTCCTACTCACAACCCGATCCATGCTGTCTGAAGCTATAAATTTATAGTTAGTGTGTTGTTTGGTTTATATATGGTTTAGTCATAACTTCATTTGTTGGAATAATAATCTCTAGGATGGGATTTTAGGAATCATTGACTATTAAGCTTTTTGAAGCATCTTTCTTCATCTTTGCAATGCTATATTATTTCCCTGGGGGGGGTCTTTGTGTCGAAAAATAATGTCGAGAGTGAGTTCGACCCGAGTATTAGATGATTTGTTATTCTAGTTTGGCTCATTTTTTCTGTGTAGTTCAACAAGCCTACCATTCTTGTACTCCGTATAAAATGATCTTTAGTTTCTGTGACCACATTTTGAAACGATTCGAGTACTAGTCCCATTGGCCTAATTAGTACTGAAACCTAATATTTGTACGAAAGAACTTAGCCATATTAAAAAAAACTGCATTTGATCAGAATTTTAGTCAAATTGTAAGCATCATAAATACGAGAGAAATCAGCAGAATAAACTGTCCTTTTGTGACCGTCTTTTATGAGTCCTTTCCATATTTTCCGGACACAATTGGTCTTCTTTGGAATGAAGTTTCATGCTTAGAGTGGCTGACTTGATCAAGATAGTGACATGAGCAACTTGATTTGGACAATGCGTATTTAACTATATACTACCCCATCCTGGGATGAAGTTCTCATTGACTATTATCTCTTGAATTTAAATCACTCTTAATCTTTTACTTTATACGAAGTATAATATTTTTTTATTACCAAATTTAGATTTTCTTGATCAGACTTTGTAACGGTTTTACTGTAGTTTCTGACTATGTAAATTTTATTTACTGAAAATTATCTGAGTGTGAACATGGATCAAGTTGCTTTATCATCAGTCAAGCATCATAAATGGAAAGAGGAACTTCTTTACGGGACGAAAGGAGTATTATTAAGAAGCTGTTTTGTTCATCTGATTAGAACTTTTATGATTTAGTATTGATCTGATATGAACTTTTCTGATTTGATCTAGATGTTTCTGATATGAGATTAAACTTTATTGATCTGAATAAAATAAGAATAAACAATAAGCGATAAATACAAGATGAACATGACATATCCTAAGTCATTTTTACTTATATGTAGTATTACTTAATCAGAGCCCGTTTGGTAACTCTGAAAGCGGTTGGATTGGCTGATTCGGCTAAAATAAAATATTAAATGGCTGCACTGACTAATTCCGCTGATTTACAAAAAAAAATTAAATATTTTTTATTAATAAAATATAGAAAAAATTACATAAAATGACTATCTACAGTCATTTCAGTCAATACAGTTAGAAAAGTAACTCCAACTTTACTTTTTCTTATTATTACGTAATTCAGCATGTGAAATCAAAAGTTACGTGTTGGTTAAAAAATTGGTTGATAAGCCTGATAAGCCGAAAAACAAAGTCACCAAACGGGCTCTGAAGTATGATCATGAAACTATCATATTATAAGCCTTCCCACTAGGACACATTCTTAAATAAAAAAAATTATTTGATGCTCATTCCTATTAGGCTATTATACAATACCATAAACTACTAGACAAATATTTTAGTAAAAAATCACTGTCATTACTTTAATTTATACAGAATTTGCTGGGAAACAAAATAAGTAGTCTCCAGGACTCCAACTCTTGTGTAAATCACTATAATTGATACTCAAGAGGAAACATACTTTTTCCGAAGCAATACTTGGTCTTTCCATCATTAAAACAAATCAAGATGATCCATAATCTTGGAATACAAATGAAACATCATTTTCATACTGTTGGAGTGCAAATGAAATGTTTGAATCAATAATGTTGATCTAAGAAGATGTGGGTGACCGAATTGACCTGACCTTTTTTATGATTATGCTAACTCCAATCATATTCTGTTATTATTATTAAGCCAGCTCTAACAAAATATATGCAACACATGATATTCTAACCATTAAGAAAATTTTAATCTTACATTTCATGATAGTCGACCTTAAAATCGTTTGAAAATAAGGCTTGGATGTGAAGGGAAAAAAACAGCCACACACGGAACTAATAAAATGCGGAATTAATCTCCGTTTGGCTAAACTTTCCCCAACTTGAATGAACCTTTGAGGATGCAAACAAATAGGGTGTTCTTAATACAATTAGAACACACAATATTGCTGCCACACACCAATATAATGAGCTAAAACAGTAAGCACACACCACACAAAAACACCGGAATTTTAGCGTGGAAAACCCGTTAACTAGGGAAAAACCACGGGACCATTTTGGCCGCTTAAATCCACTATCATCATCAAAGGAGCAGTACACAATCTTCTCTAGATAATACTAGAGGCATACAACATCATCATATCCTTGGAAGTAAGAACATCAAGGTGTATGGAATCAAATAGAGCCAAGATAAGAAAATATATCACCAGAAAATAGCTACTGTCCAGACCAACAAAACCCGACCTCCGGACCACAAAACCCGATCTCCACCGTCCAGAATATTGGCCCTGATGCTGTGAAGCTGCTGTCCAAAAATCACGACGATCCAACGGTTCAATCTCCGGGAAACGGAATTTTTCTGCTGCTGCTGCTGGAAAAACGGGATGAGCACACTCAGCTCATGTTTACCACTTATGCTCTCTTTTCTGCTGCTCTCTTTCTGTCCTCATGTGTTGAGATAGTAGTTAACCCATATTTTATTATTAGCTCCCAAAAAAGAAAGTCAAAGAAGACTTTTACTGGGCTCAAAACTTGGGCTTTCCTCATGGGTCAAAAACAAAGAAAAACCCAACAAATCTCCCCCTTTTTGACTTATGAGGAAGAGTTCGCCATACCGGCGATGGAGCAACATACCTTCAACTTTTCCCTTGCTAGAACCTTCGTCAACATATCGGCACCATTATCATCGGTATGAACTTTATCAAGTTCAAACAGTTTGTCTTCAAGTGCATCTCTAATCCAATGATACCTCACATCAATATGTTTGGTTCGTTTGTGAAACATAGAATTTTTAGCAAGGTGAATGGTACTTTGATTATCACAAAGAACCACGTAACGCTGTTGCATAAAGCCAATCTCTTGCATAAATCTTTTGAGCCATAATAGCTCCTTACAAGCTTCTGTTGCAGCCACATACTCAGCCTCGGTGGTGGATAAAACCACACACTTTTGTAATCTCGATTGCCATGACACAGCTCCCCCTGCAAAAGTCATCAAATATCCAGAAGTGGACTTCATGTTGTCCTTGTTTCCTGCCATATCAGAATCAGTATAACCAATAAGTACTGGCTCCCCATTTCCAAATGTTATACCCAATTTGGAAGTACCACGTAGATATCTGAGAATCCACTTCACTGCTTCCCAATGCTTCTTACCTGGATTTGACAGAAAACGACTAACAACACCTACTGCATGGGCAATATCAGGCCGTGTGCACACCATAGCATACATCAAACTCCCTACAGCTGAGGCATAAGGAACTCTATCCATCTCTTCAATCTTCTTTTCAGAAGATGGACAATCTTTATCTGTCAACCTGAAGTTGGTAGTAAGAGGTGAACTAACCTCTTTAGCTTTGTCCATGTTGAATCTGCGAAGCACCTTCTCAATGTATTGCTCCTGTGACATGTGTAGCTTCTTCAAAGCTCTATCTCGAGTGATCCGAATGCCAAGAATATGTTTTGCTGGCCCCAAGTCTTTCATAGCAAAAGACTTGCTCAATTGCATCTTCAGCTGAGTAATTCTTTCTGCATTCTTGCCAACAATTAACATGTCATCAACATATAACAATAAAATAATGAAATCATCATCATCAAACCTCTGGAAGAAAACACAATGGTCTGAAGTAGTCTTTCGGTAATTTTGCTCCCCCATAACTGACTCAAACTTCTTGTACCACTGTCTTGGTGCTTGCTTCAACCCATAAAGACTCTTTTGAAGTCTACACACATAACCTTCTTTTCCCTTAACCTGAAACCCTTCAGGTTGCTCCATGTAGATTTCTTTATCCAAGTCACCGTGAAGGAAAGCTGTTTTGACATCCATCTGTTCAACCTCAAGATCAAGGCTGGCTTCCAAACCCAGAGCAACACGAATAGATCCCATCTTCACGACCGGAGAGAAAATCTCATCAAAATCAATACCCTTTCTCTGACTGAACCCTTTGACCACCAATCTAGCCTTGTACCTAGGTTGTGAGGTGTGCTCTTCAGTCTTCACTTTGTAGACCCACTTGTTCTTCAAAGCTCTCTTGCCTTTAGGCAACTTCACCAACTCAAATGTATTATTTTCATGTAAGGAATTCATCTCATCTTGCATGGCTTCAACCCACTCCCTTTTATGCTCATCTTCCATGGCCTCTGCATAACACTCAGGCTCTCCCCCATCAGTGAGTAAGACATACTCATTAGCTGAAAAACGGGTGGAAGGATGACGATCTCTTGTAGACCGCCTAAGTGGGACAAATGGTGGCACGTCTGGTACTGGTATCTCTGAATGAAATTCTTCATCCACCTCTGGCTGTTCTGGAACATCAGTATCATGTTGTTCATCATTCTGAACATCATTATCAAGAGGTGGTTCTACATGCTGAGGAGGCACTGGATCCAAATCAGTAACATCATCATTATGTTGAGGAACTGTATCTTTCTTCTCAGCATCTTTCAAGGTTTGATCTTCCACAAACACAACATCTCGGCTTCGAATAAGTTTCTTGTGGACTGGATCATATAATCTGTAACCAAACTCATCTTGGCCATAACCCAAGAAAACACATGGTTTGGACTTCACATCAAGCTTTGATCTTTCATCTTTAGGAATGTGCACAAAAGCTTTGCATCCAAAGACCCTCAAATGACGGTAAGAAACATCTTTGCCACTCCAAACCCTGTCAGGTACATCAAAAGACAAAGGAACACAAGGAGTTAGATTAATAACATGTACCGCTGTATTCAAAGCTTCTCCCCAGAATGAATTTGGCAGCCCTGCATGTGACAACAAACATCTGACACGCTCCATCAAAGTTCTGTTCATCCGCTCTGCTAATCCGTTCAGCTGCGGTGTCTTGGGAGGACTCTTTTGATGTCGAATACCATGATCTCTACAATAAGCATCAAAGGGGCCAATGTATTCCCCTCCATTATCTGTCTGAATACACTTGAGCTTCTTTCCAGTCTGTCTCTCAACCGAGGCATGAAACTGCTTAAACACCTCAAATACTTGATCTTTAGATTTCAAGGTATAAACCCATACCTTTCTGGAGTGATCATCAATGAATGTGACAAAGTAGGAGCAACCACCAAGTGTCCTAGTCTTCATAGGACCACAAACATCAGAATGCACCAAATCAAGTATACTCTCCTTCCTGGAAGGAGGATGGCTCTTAAAGGAAACCCTGTTCTGTTTACCTGCCAAACAGTGAGAACACTTCTTTAGATGAATATCATGCACACCCGGTAACACATTTCTCTTCAACAAAAGAGACATCCCCTTTTCACTCATGTGACCAAGTCTCTTATGCCATAAATCAGTCATGTCAGTGTTCACCACAGCATTGACCCTATCCTTGAAGATCTTCGGATGTGTCATGTACAACTTTGAGCATCTTTTACCTCTAGCCACGATCAAAGAACCACGAGTGAGTTTCCATATTCCATTACCAAAGTTGTTGCTGTAACCATCATCATCAAGTAAGCCTGCGGAGATCAAATTAAGTCTCATATCTGGAACATGTTTTACATTATGTAAAACCAACTCTATCCCAGTGTCAAACTTCAAACAAATATCTCCGATGCCTGCAATCTTTGATAGTCCATTATTACCCATCCTAACATTACCAAAGTTACCTGGAGTGTAAGATGAATAAAAATCCCTCTGTGATGTTACATGACACGTAGCACCACTATCAACAACCCAACTGGAATCATCATGTGCAATGTTGACCATATCAAGATCAGAACAAATCAGGAACTCATCGGTAGCACTGTTAACTTCAGCATTGCCATTACCACCCTCATCTTTCTTATGGTTCTTTTGATTGTTGTAATCGCTCTTCTTCTTCTCCTTTTTCAATTGCCTGCAGAACCGTATTGTGTGGCCTTTTCTACCACAATGATAGCACTCAAAATCAGCAAACTTTCCTTTGGATTTACTTCGATGCTTCCCTTTGTTACCTGGACCTCTACTCTGACTTCTCCCCCTGCTTTCTGTAACTAAGACATCAGAATGTGAAGAGGAACCTTGTGACTTTCTTCTCATCTCTTCATTTAAAACACTGCCTTTAGCTAATTCCATGGTGATAATACCATCTGGTGCAGAGTTGGACAATGATGTCCTAAAAGTCTCCCATGAGTCCGGTAAAGTGCCAAGGAGCCACAAGCCTTGTATCTCATCTTCAAACTTGATACCCATTCCTGCAAGTTGATTTATGATTCCCTGAAAAGAATTCAAATGATCAGTGACAGGAGTTCCATCATGGTATTTCAAGCTCATCATCTGTTTTATTAAGAACAATTTATTGTTCCCGGTCTTTCGAGCATACAACTGTTCAAGCTTGTTCCACAAACTGCGAGCATGAGTTTCCCCGCTAATATGGTTCAAAACATTATCATCAACCCATTGGCGAATATACCCACAAACCTGTCTATGCAAAATATTCCACTCTGCATCTGTTTTACTCTCAGGTTTATCAGTAGTAAACACAGGCAAATAATAATCCTTCACATAAAGTAGGTCTTCCATTTTGCCTTTCCAAACATGATAATTAGAACCATTCAAATTGATCATCCTACTTGTGTTTGCTTCCATCATTCAAACAAGTCTAACCCAATACAGAAGAACTCGGCTCTGATACCAATTTGAAGGGAAAAAAACAGCCACACACGGAACTAATAAAATGCGGAATTAATCTCCGTTTGGCTAAACTTTCCCCAACTTGAATGAACCTTTGAGGATGCAAACAAATAGGGTGTTCTTAATACAATTAGAACACACAATATTGCTGCCACACACCAATATAATGAGCTAAAACAGTAAGCACACACCACACAAAAACACCGGAATTTTAGCGTGGAAAACCCGTTAACTAGGGAAAAACCACGGGACCATTTTGGCCGCTTAAATCCACTATCATCATCAAAGGAGCAGTACACAATCTTCTCTAGATAATACTAGAGGCATACAACATCATCATATCCTTGGAAGTAAGAACATCAAGGTGTATGGAATCAAATAGAGCCAAGATAAGAAAATATATCACCAGAAAATAGCTACTGTCCAGACCAACAAAACCCGACCTCCGGACCACAAAACCCGATCTCCACCGTCCAGAATATTGGCCCTGATGCTGTGAAGCTGCTGTCCAAAAATCACGACGATCCAACGGTTCAATCTCCGGGAAACGGAATTTTTCTGCTGCTGCTGCTGGAAAAACGGGATGAGCACACTCAGCTCATGTTTACCACTTATGCTCTCTTTTCTGCTGCTCTCTTTCTGTCCTCATGTGTTGAGATAGTAGTTAACCCATATTTTATTATTAGCTCCCAAAAAAGAAAGTCAAAGAAGACTTTTACTGGGCTCAAAACTTGGGCTTTCCTCATGGGTCAAAAACAAAGAAAAACCCAACAAATCTCCCCCTTTTTGACTTATGAGGAAGAGTTCGCCATACCGGCGATGGAGCAACATACCTTCAACTTTTCCCTTGCTAGAACCTTCGTCAACATATCGGCACCATTATCATCGGTATGAACTTTATCAAGTTCAAACAGTTTGTCTTCAAGTGCATCTCTAATCCAATGATACCTCACATCAATATGTTTGGTTCGTTTGTGAAACATAGAATTTTTAGCAAGGTGAATGGTACTTTGATTATCACAAAGAACCACGTAACGCTGTTGCATAAAGCCAATCTCTTGCATAAATCTTTTGAGCCATAATAGCTCCTTACAAGCTTCTGTTGCAGCCACATACTCAGCCTCGGTGGTGGATAAAACCACACACTTTTGTAATCTCGATTGCCATGACACAGCTCCCCCTGCAAAAGTCATCAAATATCCAGAAGTGGACTTCATGTTGTCCTTGTTTCCTGCCATATCAGAATCAGTATAACCAATAAGTACTGGCTCCCCATTTCCAAATGTTATACCCAATTTGGAAGTACCACGTAGATATCTGAGAATCCACTTCACTGCTTCCCAATGCTTCTTACCTGGATTTGACAGAAAACGACTAACAACACCTACTGCATGGGCAATATCAGGCCGTGTGCACACCATAGCATACATCAAACTCCCTACAGCTGAGGCATAAGGAACTCTATCCATCTCTTCAATCTTCTTTTCAGAAGATGGACAATCTTTATCTGTCAACCTGAAGTTGGTAGTAAGAGGTGAACTAACCTCTTTAGCTTTGTCCATGTTGAATCTGCGAAGCACCTTCTCAATGTATTGCTCCTGTGACATGTGTAGCTTCTTCAAAGCTCTATCTCGAGTGATCCGAATGCCAAGAATATGTTTTGCTGGCCCCAAGTCTTTCATAGCAAAAGACTTGCTCAATTGCATCTTCAGCTGAGTAATTCTTTCTGCATTCTTGCCAACAATTAACATGTCATCAACATATAACAATAAAATAATGAAATCATCATCATCAAACCTCTGGAAGAAAACACAATGGTCTGAAGTAGTCTTTCGGTAATTTTGCTCCCCCATAACTGACTCAAACTTCTTGTACCACTGTCTTGGTGCTTGCTTCAACCCATAAAGACTCTTTTGAAGTCTACACACATAACCTTCTTTTCCCTTAACCTGAAACCCTTCAGGTTGCTCCATGTAGATTTCTTTATCCAAGTCACCGTGAAGGAAAGCTGTTTTGACATCCATCTGTTCAACCTCAAGATCAAGGCTGGCTTCCAAACCCAGAGCAACACGAATAGATCCCATCTTCACGACCGGAGAGAAAATCTCATCAAAATCAATACCCTTTCTCTGACTGAACCCTTTGACCACCAATCTAGCCTTGTACCTAGGTTGTGAGGTGTGCTCTTCAGTCTTCACTTTGTAGACCCACTTGTTCTTCAAAGCTCTCTTGCCTTTAGGCAACTTCACCAACTCAAATGTATTATTTTCATGTAAGGAATTCATCTCATCTTGCATGGCTTCAACCCACTCCCTTTTATGCTCATCTTCCATGGCCTCTGCATAACACTCAGGCTCTCCCCCATCAGTGAGTAAGACATACTCATTAGCTGAAAAACGGGTGGAAGGATGACGATCTCTTGTAGACCGCCTAAGTGGGACAAATGGTGGCACGTCTGGTACTGGTATCTCTGAATGAAATTCTTCATCCACCTCTGGCTGTTCTGGAACATCAGTATCATGTTGTTCATCATTCTGAACATCATTATCAAGAGGTGGTTCTACATGCTGAGGAGGCACTGGATCCAAATCAGTAACATCATCATTATGTTGAGGAACTGTATCTTTCTTCTCAGCATCTTTCAAGGTTTGATCTTCCACAAACACAACATCTCGGCTTCGAATAAGTTTCTTGTGGACTGGATCATATAATCTGTAACCAAACTCATCTTGGCCATAACCCAAGAAAACACATGGTTTGGACTTCACATCAAGCTTTGATCTTTCATCTTTAGGAATGTGCACAAAAGCTTTGCATCCAAAGACCCTCAAATGACGGTAAGAAACATCTTTGCCACTCCAAACCCTGTCAGGTACATCAAAAGACAAAGGAACACAAGGAGTTAGATTAATAACATGTACCGCTGTATTCAAAGCTTCTCCCCAGAATGAATTTGGCAGCCCTGCATGTGACAACAAACATCTGACACGCTCCATCAAAGTTCTGTTCATCCGCTCTGCTAATCCGTTCAGCTGCGGTGTCTTGGGAGGACTCTTTTGATGTCGAATACCATGATCTCTACAATAAGCATCAAAGGGGCCAATGTATTCCCCTCCATTATCTGTCTGAATACACTTGAGCTTCTTTCCAGTCTGTCTCTCAACCGAGGCATGAAACTGCTTAAACACCTCAAATACTTGATCTTTAGATTTCAAGGTATAAACCCATACCTTTCTGGAGTGATCATCAATGAATGTGACAAAGTAGGAGCAACCACCAAGTGTCCTAGTCTTCATAGGACCACAAACATCAGAATGCACCAAATCAAGTATACTCTCCTTCCTGGAAGGAGGATGGCTCTTAAAGGAAACCCTGTTCTGTTTACCTGCCAAACAGTGAGAACACTTCTTTAGATGAATATCATGCACACCCGGTAACACATTTCTCTTCAACAAAAGAGACATCCCCTTTTCACTCATGTGACCAAGTCTCTTATGCCATAAATCAGTCATGTCAGTGTTCACCACAGCATTGACCCTATCCTTGAAGATCTTCGGATGTGTCATGTACAACTTTGAGCATCTTTTACCTCTAGCCACGATCAAAGAACCACGAGTGAGTTTCCATATTCCATTACCAAAGTTGTTGCTGTAACCATCATCATCAAGTAAGCCTGCGGAGATCAAATTAAGTCTCATATCTGGAACATGTTTTACATTATGTAAAACCAACTCTATCCCAGTGTCAAACTTCAAACAAATATCTCCGATGCCTGCAATCTTTGATAGTCCATTATTACCCATCCTAACATTACCAAAGTTACCTGGAGTGTAAGATGAATAAAAATCCCTCTGTGATGTTACATGACACGTAGCACCACTATCAACAACCCAACTGGAATCATCATGTGCAATGTTGACCATATCAAGATCAGAACAAATCAGGAACTCATCGGTAGCACTGTTAACTTCAGCATTGCCATTACCACCCTCATCTTTCTTATGGTTCTTTTGATTGTTGTAATCGCTCTTCTTCTTCTCCTTTTTCAATTGCCTGCAGAACCGTATTGTGTGGCCTTTTCTACCACAATGATAGCACTCAAAATCAGCAAACTTTCCTTTGGATTTACTTCGATGCTTCCCTTTGTTACCTGGACCTCTACTCTGACTTCTCCCCCTGCTTTCTGTAACTAAGACATCAGAATGTGAAGAGGAACCTTGTGACTTTCTTCTCATCTCTTCATTTAAAACACTGCCTTTAGCTAATTCCATGGTGATAATACCATCTGGTGCAGAGTTGGACAATGATGTCCTAAAAGTCTCCCATGAGTCCGGTAAAGTGCCAAGGAGCCACAAGCCTTGTATCTCATCTTCAAACTTGATACCCATTCCTGCAAGTTGATTTATGATTCCCTGAAAAGAATTCAAATGATCAGTGACAGGAGTTCCATCATGGTATTTCAAGCTCATCATCTGTTTTATTAAGAACAATTTATTGTTCCCGGTCTTTCGAGCATACAACTGTTCAAGCTTGTTCCACAAACTGCGAGCATGAGTTTCCCCGCTAATATGGTTCAAAACATTATCATCAACCCATTGGCGAATATACCCACAAACCTGTCTATGCAAAATATTCCACTCTGCATCTGTTTTACTCTCAGGTTTATCAGTAGTAAACACAGGCAAATAATAATCCTTCACATAAAGTAGGTCTTCCATTTTGCCTTTCCAAACATGATAATTAGAACCATTCAAATTGATCATCCTACTTGTGTTTGCTTCCATCATTCAAACAAGTCTAACCCAATACAGAAGAACTCGGCTCTGATACCAATTTGAAGGGAAAAAAACAGCCACACACGGAACTAATAAAATGCGGAATTAATCTCCGTTTGGCTAAACTTTCCCCAACTTGAATGAACCTTTGAGGATGCAAACAAATAGGGTGTTCTTAATACAATTAGAACACACAATATTGCTGCCACACACCAATATAATGAGCTAAAACAGTAAGCACACACCACACAAAAACACCGGAATTTTAGCGTGGAAAACCCGTTAACTAGGGAAAAACCACGGGACCATTTTGGCCGCTTAAATCCACTATCATCATCAAAGGAGCAGTACACAATCTTCTCTAGATAATACTAGAGGCATACAACATCATCATATCCTTGGAAGTAAGAACATCAAGGTGTATGGAATCAAATAGAGCCAAGATAAGAAAATATATCACCAGAAAATAGCTACTGTCCAGACCAACAAAACCCGACCTCCGGACCACAAAACCCGATCTCCACCGTCCAGAATATTGGCCCTGATGCTGTGAAGCTGCTGTCCAAAAATCACGACGATCCAACGGTTCAATCTCCGGGAAACGGAATTTTTCTGCTGCTGCTGCTGGAAAAACGGGATGAGCACACTCAGCTCATGTTTACCACTTATGCTCTCTTTTCTGCTGCTCTCTTTCTGTCCTCATGTGTTGAGATAGTAGTTAACCCATATTTTATTATTAGCTCCCAAAAAAGAAAGTCAAAGAAGACTTTTACTGGGCTCAAAACTTGGGCTTTCCTCATGGGTCAAAAACAAAGAAAAACCCAACAGGATGTTGTTAGTGTTGTTGGTCTGATCTGTTTTGAGTACTCCCATAATTTGAGGTTTGAACTAGTCATGGACTCAGGTCGGTCCGGTCCGATTCCGGGCCCAGGACCAGCCAGTCCCTAACTGAGATAGTGAAGCCTGGTACAAACCCAATTTGGTCCGGTACCGGTTTTGGTCTGGGTTTCAGGCGGGTCACGGGTCGGGACAGTCCCGAGTCGGGTCACAGTACCCTACCCTCTATTTAAAAAAAATGGTCATTGGGACCGGAACCGGGCCTGAGACCGACATACTAGTCCTAAAAACTGAAGCATGAGCCCGTCCCGTTATTTAGGCAATCCGGTTACCGGTACCGCGAAATCGGTCTAGGGCCAGTCCAAATAGTACAGGTCCCGGATCGGTAGGAGTGGACTCGGGCCGGGCGGCCCGACTCGTAACCGGTCCGACCCGGTCACTGTTTGAACCGGCCCGAACTGTCGGCCCGACCAGGGACCGGTCCGGGTAGGCCCGACCCGCTGGGGGTTCCGGTCCGGTCTCGGGCCCCTCAAAAGGTGAACCGGCCCGGCCGGTTCGGGCCCGGTCCGGGCCAATTTATTTTTTTTTCTTTTTTTTTTAATTTTTTTTTTGATTTTTTGGGTTGGGCTAGGTATTTTGGGCCATTTGAGGTGGTTTGGGGTGGTTTGGGGTGAGGGGGGAGGGTTGGGGATTAATTAGGAAAAGCAAAAAAAAAACAAATTAAATTGAACCGAGGCCCGGCCCAGCGCGGCCCGGACCCGGGGGTTACCCGGGCCGGTTCCGGGCCTCCCCTTTCATGAACCGAGGCCCGTCCGGGCCCAGTCCCGAACTGGGCCCGAACCGGCCCGAGTCCACCCCTACGGATTGGGCTGCCCAGACCCAATCCATGCCTACTTTGAACAAGCGAGGTTGGACATAAATAAACTAGATCACATAGTAAACCGGCCAGACTCTTAGGAACTCCAAAAAACTCAATCAAAATGACACAAAATTTTGATCATAAAAATATACATATGATTCTGACTTCCGAGTGTTTTTCCAAACTCGAAATATGTCCTGCAGTAGGAAAAATATTGAACAAAAAATAGCACGTTTTTCTTGATCCATATATCATTTGGATTTTGGGTTGAAATAGTCCACGAAAGACATGCATTTTCCTCTTTTACGATGGTGGGCCAACTGCAGGTGACGTGGCTCTCTACAACGTATTATTAGAAATTTGGAACAATGCATCTGATCCAACATATTTTACAACTGCAATATGTACGTTTGGTACAACAACCAACTGGAACATGTAAATAAAGATTTTTTAGCTTTTAAATAACTCTTAGATTTTTGTAACTATAGTAAAGTACTTAGAGAAAATAGTGTAGTGACAAGTTGTTGCTGGTTTGACCTATTAATGTTAAAAATAACGGACTTTTTTTTATTTGAAAAAAAAAAGTTAAACGTCTCCTAAAGACTATTGCCAAACATAGAACTAATAAATTTTAGAAGTTTTTGAACATTGTAAATGGTAGAAGCTGGTATGAGCTTAACATTCCTACAATTGCTACAAACATACTTCGTATACAAGTATGCACTATTAGGTGGTAGGTTGAAATCCATACAAGTACACTCATGCTAAACATATATTGAATAATACATTAATACCCCTCTTATTTAATAAAAAAAATACCACTCTTATAAAAAAGAAATGATCGAATCACGTTTGGTCAAATTAAAGTACAAACGTTATAAATTATTTGATACTTTAACTAAATATAACATATTGTTTACAATTTTTTCGTGAATTTCTTGACGTTTTATGTAATAACTTACTAAATTTGACAAAATGGGATTGTTTTTCCCCAAAAAAATATTAAAATAGGAATGATATGGGAAAGAGAAGTTCCAGTTATCATTTTTTTTAGTTACACTCTATGAATGTGAATACATTTTACAAACCATCCTTCATTCCAAATTGACTTAATGTGACTGAAATTTAAACAATCAAATTAGGAAGTTGAAATTCCTAAATCAAATCATGATTTGTTAATGTTGCTGTCCGATGCGCATTTATTTAGTGAAAACTAGGACCCAATAATTTATTTAGTTTTATTTATTGTTATTTGTTACATTTACACAACTGGGAGTACCAAACTATACACTTCCAGTAATACATCGTTCCAACTCGTAGTAAATTACGGGCCGGGAATCTTCCTGTTTGAAACGTTATCTCGATTGGTCTTAGTAGGGGCGGGATCCGGCTAGTCCCGGTCGTTGATAGGAGAAGCCCGGGTCCGTCGGAAATACATTGATTTGCTTTTGAAGGAACACACAATAAAATACAAAGTTTTTTAAAACGAATTGCAAAGTCTAATCTGGACAATTAATTGGGCGCAAACTCAAATTATCCCAAATAAAAAAATTCTTTCGGCTTCCTAAAAGGCTCCTTTTATTGAAGGATAAATTTACTTTTTGACACTATTTAGCACCGTTTATCATTGTTTTACATTGTGTTATCATTATCATTTAAGAGTGGTAGAATAAATTGGCATTAACTTTTTACCAAATAGGAAAGGAGCTTTATTTAAGGATATCTATAAAAGAAAAGTCAAAACTTAATTTAGGTACGAAGGGAGTAGTTTAAATAGTGAGTTTTTCCTGAAATTGCTCTAATATACTTTATTGATATAATTACATTACGCCTGTGACACAAAGGCTCCCACCCATAATTTATTGATAAAAACTAAAATCATCATATGCACAATTTCACGGTTACTACAAGATAAAATTTATGGTAATCATTGTCACTAAAAATTACTAATATAGTCAGTCACGTTCTAAGAGGTCACATTTTAATCCATATTTATCTTAGTCATATTATGTCATTATTTATTGAATTTATTTTTGAAAGGAAAAGACTTATTATATTAAATCGGTACTCTCAGTGTGTAACCAAGGAAACAATACAAATGAGCAACAAACAAAAGTCCTAACCTCCTTCTAACCAACCTTAACCATAAGCCCACTGCCCCCCTCACGTCTTGATCAGATATAGAATAGTTCACCCCAAAAAGAGCGAGACTAATCGCTGAACATGTAAGAGCTTCAAGGCTATTAGCGGCTGAGTCAGCCTGATTGCCTCCAAATACAAATCTAGCAACTAGAATAAACCAAACAAAGCACCCACCAACATTATTGTCAAAAGAAATAAAAACAAAACAAGAATTAGAAATCAAGAAATAACACAAGTAACTAATCTCCAAGTGCTGAACCAGAGTCCATCCTTCAAGCCTCTTTTTCCAACCCCAAGCCCACACTTCTTCTGTGGCGGCGGTTCAGGAGGGGGGCGAGTCAGCACCACGCCTTGCTCTTATTTCATCACTTGAATCGGCAATTCTCTATACCATCTCCAAGCCGCCCATGTTCCTCCAGGATCAAAAACCGCTGGCACAACTTCCATCTCATACACCAATAAAGCCAAAATTGCCAAAACAAACAACGTAAAGTCAATCCTCAACATTGTTGCTCCACTGAATAGTATAAGTAGCATCCCCGGTTGAATTCAGGCTTAAAATGGTGTGCAATGGTTGTTGGCCACTCCCTTGTTCGTAGATACACACTGGCCGCCGTAGAACTTGCCTTCCCGCTTCTCAGATCAATTGGAAACTACTGCTAAAATCAACAAAGCCCCAATGAACGCTAACCCAGGAGAAATCAATCGGTGAATCTCCTCATGTGCTGCTATTGATTTCCGACGCAATCCTGCAAGTCCGAACACTCCAGCACTCCGCCTTGCGCTCCAGACAAAACTAGCAACCTCCGGGACTCCAAAGCGCCAAGAAACTCTCAGCGCCGCCCGCCTAATAACCTAGACTAGGCTAGGGCTGTCGCCGCTCAACAATCCTTGGCTAGGGTTCTGACTCCATTGGAGATGATCTTTAAAGATCCGGGAGGGGAAGATTAGGATTTGCGTCTTCTAGTTGATATACGCCCTCAGGAATTATCTCTCTAGCAATGGGATGCAGAAAGATGGAATGACGTGTCATTATTTCTTGAATTATTCAATAGTTTCAGTCATTTTCCTCATGACTCCAAAAATTCATTACATTTAACCGCTTTAGCCATTTTTTAGTTTTACCATTTGGGTCAGAGTTAAATGAAAAGCACATTTCTCTAATTAAACGCACTGAGACCATTCCTTTTAGAAAGGAGCTTATTTATAAAAGTGCTTTTAAAATGGTCGTCTAACCACACAAGCATCTCTCGAGTAGAGAGGCAAGTACACAAAAAGAAAACACAATCACAATCACGTCCACACTCCTCTCTGAACAACCAACCAGTATTCTTTCTGTCATGGTTTTGAGAAAGAGTGGAACAGCTAGAAAGAATGTACACGGAGCATGGACAGCTGAAGACGACGATAAACTCATATAGACGTGGTGCTAAAAATGAAAAAACGTGGCCCTCAAAATCTGAAATCAGGTTATTTTTGCCCTCTTGGCATTTGCCATTATGGTTTTCGTGTTCTTGAGAGTTTGAATAGGTGTGGGAAGAGCTGCAGGTGAAGGTGGTTAAATTATCTTAGGTTAAACATCAAGAGAGGCAACATAGCTGAAGGTGAAGCGCTGTTAATACTCAGGCTTCGTAAACTACTAGGAAACAGGTAAGGCGAACAATTTTTTCAAATTGGCAGCACAAGCTTCATGATAGTAATATTAGTTATACATTATACATTAATGCATAGATGCCATCAAATTGTAATATACTAGTACCTGTACGATTCTGTGACAGCACTAAGAAAATAGAATATGAAGGATAATTCATCTAAATCGAGTTTTTGTATAAGTAGGTTAGTGAACACACTAATCCTATGTATTATGTAGAGAAAATGGTCAAAATGGTACACGAAGTTGTATCGATGGGAGTAAGTAGTACTTTATCTTGCATTTGAAATTTTAAAGTACACGAACTTGTATTTTTATAGTCAATCAAATACATTTGTTCTATCAGAACGTTAAAAATAGCTGACATGACCAAATTATCAATTTGAAATATATAGTGGCAATCCAAGACATCAAATAATTAATGTATAACTTCTAATTTTCCCCGTTCAGTCGTTTCCACCTTCGCTTTTAATTTTATATTTCTCACATTTTTCTCTCCCTTCTCTCGCTCTTCATCTTATATTTCTCTCATCTGCTCTCTAAGTGCGGAGTCAAGGCATTGGGTCGTACTGGAGCAGTACAAAGAATATTTTGTGTACGTGTTGCTTAAAAGTTTAAACGTTAAAAAACTACACAAATTTTTTACTTAAAAGTTAAAACGTTTTTTGAATTTGAGGTGGGCCTTGGCCTAAGCTGGCCCCTCTAGCTCCGCCCGTGTTGCTCTACTTCTCTAGTTCTCTTTCGTCTTCTCTCTCTGCTATCCCACCGGCTTTTCTTTTATTTGTTATCGGCCGATCTTTATTATAGTAAGAGAAGAAAATAAAATAGAGCAAAACGAAGAAGTCGATAGGATAGGAGGGAGAGCAGACAGGAGCAATATAAGATGTAGAGCGGAGAGAAAAATATGAGATGAAGAGTGAAGGTGAAAACGAGTGGACTGGAGGAAAATAGAATTTATAGATTAATTATTTGATGACTTGGACTGCAACCTGTGTAATAAAGGATAGTTTGGCCAAGTCAGCTATTTTAACGTTCTGATAGAGCAAATGTACTTGATTGGCTATAAAAATACAAGTTCATGTACTTTAAAAGCTAGATGAAGTACTATTTACTCCATTTGATACAAGTTCATGTACCATTGCGATCATTTTCTCGTAAAATGTACATTGATACAACATGCAGCTATGTATTCTGCAGTTTGGTCTATTATGTAAGCAATCTTTAAAAACCAGACACCTAGAAACCTCTCCTTGAATGTGGCAAAAGTTACAATGTCATGCTGCTCTGAATCTTGTATCCAGGATAAATAAATATTCACTTGTCACACTCTTTTGCTTGTAGCTGAAACAACAATGATTTAAAGAACAAGAATAATGTCAGCTAGCGCTAATTTACATTCATTTGACCGATCAAGTTACTGATTAGTATCGAGCAGCGTATCACACCTACATTCATATTATTGAAAACAGCGTTGATTAATTCTTTTGGTAAATCACTCACCTAAGAACATAATCTTTGCTATGCAATCACAGCAAGGACATTAGTGGAACTACAAACCTATTTGGATATATTGATTTGTCATAACGTAACTAAACATTCTCTACCACTTCTCAGAATATATAAGACAAATTAACAAGACTTGTAAGACTTCAGGGAATCTGATAAAGCCTCAGTACACCATATGCGAGATTGATTACACCTACTGATCTACCTTACTACCTCCGTGCGGTTTGTCCTAGTTACCAAATGATCCCCAAGAATTCTAACAGTTACAAATACACCGGTTAACAAGTCAAGTATTCCATAAGTGACACCAAAAGATAATAGACTATTACGATGTTAATATGAATTGAGAGTTCAGACTATGTTATTCTGAACATTTGTTGAGGGGTCATTCACACAATGTTGACTTCTCAAGGGGTCAATTTATAAATTAGATGAACTTCAGGGACTATTTGGTAATCTAATCAAACTTCAGGGGAGATGAATGTAATTAACCCTTACATGAATGCTCTAATGATCATCCATTTCTTGCCCTTGTAAATGTGTGCTGAATGCAATCACACCCTGCATCATGTCAGATAAAGCAAGCTTCTCCGTATCAACAGAAAAGTCAATATCTTCATAGCAAGAAAAACTACTGACACCAAAAAGGAACATGGGCGTCGTACCTGACATCATATGACAGGCTTTAAGTGACCCAAGTAAATTAATCAACTTTCTCGAGAACATTAAAAACTCTTCCACACTTGAGTGAATATAGCTGCAATGCCAACTTAAGATAAACTTAAGCTGGCTCATATCCATACACACTTAACATCCACCAAACAGAATTTCAGGCCAAATATTACAACTGATGTTGGTTGAGCCTACTTAACCAGAGTGAATGTAGAACCATATGGAATAAATCAAACCTAGTTGGTCGTGAGTTCCAGAGGAAATGCTTCTGCAACTTTTTGACATTATTCTGCATTGTAAGATAGTGTTTCATAGGAATACCTAGAAGAATATCTTTCAGTTTAGGAATATCTTTTTCAGCAACAAACACTGAAAATGCAGACCAGTTGAGCACATCGTTGAAAGGAGGGACAAGATTATCGGCAATTATAACTGGGACACACTCATAATATATTGCCTCAACGATCCTCGGGCTGTTCACTTCAAACCCCATCGGACATATGCAATATTTACTGGATTTCATATGTTCAGGATAACTCATTACTTTGGACACTCGGTTTGGTAAAGCCGCATAGATCTTCATGTCTTCATCCTTATCACTCCAATACCTTATAAGTCTAGGACGAACCCTTCCATGCACATGCCCAGCAAAAAATGCAAGAATTGTGCGTTGTGAAACTCTTTTCCCACCAAGGTTCCTAAGGGGCCTTCTGGGATTCTTTATAGTGGTTTCTGGCAAGGAAACATCCTTCCCAGGAACAAATATTCCTTCAGATCGATCTGCATTACAGAGTGCCTTTATTGTGTTTTTAAGCAGCTCCTCATGATCCTTTAAAGTGTAAGGTCCCTGAAAGTGCACAATGAAGATAAAAGGGTGAGTACAGAGAGGGTGCACATGTGACAGGAAACGTTTTGAAGGACAGAAAAACAACACCAGATACATATGAGCTGTGTTCTCTTCACCCTTCGCTTACAAACCAGTCTTGCTTCAATCAGATTAGATTAGACAAAAAAACATTCATACCAGATCTAGACTAGACTAGACCAGACCAAAAAATGTTGGTATGTAAGCCTGAAAGAGCACGCGCCCACAAAAGTCGTATTAGAATGTTCTTTGGTCTTATCAGACCACACCAAATGTCATTTACATTTCCAATAGGTAAATTACGGAAACATTTATATCAAACACGAAAAAAAGATCCATACCAAACTAGATCAAACTTGGTCAGACCAGATCCTACTAAATGTGAACTAAAAACATCCAGTTGATATCAGAAAGTAAAGAAAAGGTTCAAACAAGATCTTCATAAAGTCAGAATATATCACATTGTTACATGCAAAGAGAAAGAAACAACGAACATGTCCCAAGTAATATACACTGTCAGGGTAGTATGTGTATGAATACAAGAGGTCTTTAGCATACCCAATCATGGCAAGCCACCAAAAAGTGATCTGATCCATGTGTGCGATTCCAAAAAGGATATTTTGCTGATACTGCATTCACATAGTCCCGTAGGAAGAAAGATAAAGGCCTGAGGTCATGGGAGTTGGGTACATAAAGCACTCTCTGCAACTGTTTGACACTGTATGGAAGATAGAATAGGTGAGCCTTTTCTGGGTCCTTTGTAACGAATTGATGATTCTCCTCCATATGCTTCATAAACCATCCCTCAGACGAATAAATCCCTTTGAGATGTGGTTGATGAAAAATAGGTCTCTTTCCTTCTTGGTATATGTAAACTCTGAGTAAGAGCTCCATTAACTCATAGCTCCTGCAAGTCAAACAGAACATACAATTCAATGAATAGATAGCTATTCTGATTCTGAAATAAGTGGGAATAATAATGCCCTTCAATACAGGTAAAAACTCAATACAATTTGTGGTGAAGAAATATGCCATGACTGAATAATATTAAATTGCTTCCAAAAAAAACAAATGAATTTACACTTGGGCAATTTACACTTTTGTAAGTTTGTTCATAGTTACTTGGATAGCTGGGACAAAATAAACTGTCTCTCTTAGTAGAAAGATTATGGCATCTTGATCTATCTTGACAAAATATGCAAGGGTTATTTGAATGGAATGAAATGAAATGGCTGAGTCAGCTAAATTTTCTGAAATGGGTGGTGTTCGGTAAAATCACCATCATCATTTTCATTACCCGAGTGCCGCAAAGGCTTCCACCTACGGTGGGGTAAGGAAGGTTGGATGTACGCAGTCTTACCCTGTACTTAAGCACAAAGAGACTGTTTCCGGATGACCCATAGTGAAAATCGCGTCGAAGATATGATTAAAATAGGAGATAAACATTTAACGTATGTGACAAAGCATAACAAGATAATTCATGTCAGTATAGGGAGATAAAAATATACGTAGTAAGATACATGGTGAAGTAAGAAAATACAGAGTCCAAGTACTGAAGAAATATGCATATTAAATCAGTCAGTATAGAGAGACTAAAAAACAAGAGAATGTGAGGAAGTAAGAGAATACAAAGTCCAAGTAATGAAGAAATATGTTTATTGCATCAATTATAAATGGTGTATTTCAATAGTAAAGTATTATTCTAAAATATAAGAACAGACAATATGAACATCATTAACATACCTCTTAAAAGTAGAAACGTTTCTGAATAGAGGAGCATACAAGTCTGGATCATCATCAACCAACTGTGCATGCTCAATCTCCTTTTTAGCATATTCAAGTCCTTCATCAGGCGTTAATGATGTGATATATCTCTGGACAAGACATTTTAAAAGGAATGATAATTTAATAAAAAATATAGAATAAACTAATACAGCAAAGCAGACCACAGAACGTTTCCGCCAGCAATACAAGAACAATGGGAAACGAACCAGCATGTGATAAGAACCATTTCTACCAGGAATGCGAGAAGGTACATAAGGAGACTTGATATTCCTCCTATTTCTTACATGAGCAGTCTGGTCATCTGTTCTCAGAGATTTCTTAGATAGATTCTGACTTGCAAAAGAAATGGGTGGAGTGAAGAACTGGACATGTTGAATACCCTCCAAATGGTCAACATTCCCTACAACACTTGAATTTTCCTCCAAAAGCCTCTCATAATTCTTATTGGGTAAAGCCTCCTCATAAGGGTGGACAGCCCACCCTGCCGGTTGGTAAAAAAACGTATAAGATTGAAACAAGACACTAACAAGTGTGAGAAAAGCACAAAGCAAACGTATCCTTTTTGAGTTGATTTTGAGCATTAGAGCATGTTGTGTCCCCAAAGACTCCCCTCCAACCCACGAATTCTCACTACAGCAATGAAATGCCAACCTTCGCAATAAAGTAAGAGAGAAGTTTAAATTAACTTTCAGTCCATTAGGAGGTATAATAAAAGCACACCATGCTTCTAACAAGCTCCAGCCAATGTCAGTTCCTCAAACCAATAAAAAAACATAAACCTATTCTCAGACAAAAATTATTGCATTAATATTATCCACCAACAAGATAATATCCCAGAAAAACAAGAAATCCAAAGCTAACATCTCCACCCCCACTCCCACCTCCCCAACTAACATGTCCGGCAACCTGTTTTCCCTTCCAAAAAGAAGTCATGTTTACTAAAGGTACAAGTTTTAGATTTTGTCAAGCTGCAACCTTTCGAAGTCATGGAATCATACACGCTAGTATGCTTTTAAAATTTGTTTGTTTGATTAACTAAACCCCTCCCAATTTAACTTGTTCATACATTTTTTTAATAACATGAAACTTAGCTTTGTTTGATCAAAGTGGTATCTTTTTCTGGGACGATTAAAAGTTGAACAACAGGTTGATGCTTTGTTTGGACATATAGGACTCTAAACATGCTCCCTATTTAACTTGTTCACCGAATCTTATCAGAATACATTTATTATACGAAAAACATATATCAAACCATAAGATTAGTGATTCAATTGTACCTTCAGGTTGATACTGCAAGGACGCGGCTTCGATAGGAAAATCGAGTAAAGTGGAGACAAAAGAAGAAATGAATTATTGATGAAGATGATGAAGAAATGGAAGTATTCCGTTCCCGTCTGTTTTATATAGCTTCGGATCAAAGGTAATCGTCCGGCAGACGAGACGGAGAATGGTGACGGTGATCGGGAAGGGGGATGAATACGTGGGAGAGGAAAAAGTGTGGCAATCGGTGTGAACCATCCTTTTTTGACCTGCCACGGCTGTCATAGTGTCATCCTACGTGGCTAATAAGAAGTTAATTTAGTACTCAATCAGTCAACCGGAGAGCTCAGCTAAACTAGAGGCCCCACCCAACTCACATTTTCCTAAATCCTAAATGTCATTATAATTTATAAGCCCATTTGGTAACACCAAAATTAGTTATATCGGCTCATTCTGCTGCAATTTTTGAAGTTGTAGTTGAAGTGGCAGTATTGGCTGATTCTGCTGATTTGTGGAAAAAATAAATTTAAATATATTTTAATAATAAAATAGTGAAAATATTATATGAAAAAATACCTAAAATGATCCTCAACAGTAATTTCAGCCAATACAGCAAAAAAAGTAACTACAACACTACTTTTTCTTATTATTATACTATTCAGTGTGTGAAATCAAAAGTCACGTGTTTGGTGAAAAAGTTGACTGATAAGCCTGAAAAGCAAAAAATAATGGTTACTCTAAATAATCTCATTACTCGATAGTTAAATATTAGAAAATGAGTAACCCTGGTGGCTGCTGGGAACCATGTAAAATGCTAGAGCGTGCACGGTGCACATGTGGCATGAGAGAGATAGACACAAAAGATTGATTTTAAGACATTTCTCTCTCCGTCTTTCCACGGTCTTTTGTGTTTTTGGTAAGTTTTTCTCTGCAATGTCAATCACAGTGTCTACATCTAGACGTTGTGCTTGACATTGTGAAGAAAAACTTACCAAAATGATATAAATCCTTCAAATAAGGAGAGAGATATTTTATTTATTGTTTTTTGATTGGCTATCTATTATGCCACGTATGCACCGTTAACGTTTTAGCATTCGAGATGCTCTTTATTAAGATTGCATTGTTCGAGTAGCTACATTCAACTTAGGTAAGCCTAATTTTTGTTTTTAGTTGGTACAATCCAAGACCCAAGTACTGCTAATTTTTGTTTTTAGCTCCAATTAGTACATAATAGTGAAATACAAATGACAATTTGATAAATTTTGATCTTACACCCTAGACGCTGTTTGCTAACACTATTTTTCGGCTTATATATCAAGCTTATCAACCAACTTTTTCACCAAACACGTAATTTTTGCTTTCGCGCGCTGAATTGTGTAATAAGCAGAAAAAGTAAGGTTGTAGTTACTTTTCTGGCTGTATTGGCTGAAGTTACTGTAGATGACATTTTAGCTATTTTTACATATAATTTTTTTTATATTTTATTATAAAATATATTTTAAAAATATTTTTTCTTAAATCAGCAGAATCAGCCAATGCAGCCACTTCAGCCAAAACTTCATAATTTTTAGCAGAATCAGCCAAATCAGCCGATTTTCGTGCTACCAAACAGGCTCTATATTTGGGAGTGTCAAAATGCTTTAGGATGTTTTTACTTAGACTCTAAGACGTTCCAAACGAAATCAAACTAAATCAGATTATACCAAAACAGACTAGACCATATTTTAATATTGTTGTTGTTGTTGTTGTTGTTATTGTTGTTATTCTTGTTGTTTTTGTTGTTTTTTTTGTTCTTATTATTATTAGTATTCCTATTAATATTACTACTACTATTGTTATTATTATTATTCGCAGCAGTATTATTATTATTATTCTTATTGTTGTTATTATTAATACTATTTTATTATTGTCTAGTTTAGACGGTTCGCATTTGAAGTCATACAAGTGACAGAACAATATAAATGATCTTGATTTGTAAAACACAAAGAAAGAAAAATAAAGGGACAACTGACAATTTAGTTCTCGTACTATCGCAAAATAGCCCTTGTACTTTTGATAATATCAATCAAATCCCCCGAACTGTGTAAAAATGTTCAATTGAGTCCGATAACAGGTTACCCGCCACGTCAGCAAGTTACCTGATGACGTGGCACACGTGTGACAACCTGGTCAGGGGTGAATTTGCTGACGTGGTGCCACGTGGAAGCCTTGCCATCCATTTACTGATGATGTGGCACACACATGGACTGCCACGTGTGCGCCATGTATGCGCCGCGTCAGCTGGTGACCTGCTGACATGGCAGGTAACCTGCTAATTGACTCAATTGAATGTTTTTCAAAGTTCGGTGATTTGATTGATTGTTTTTAAAGTATGAAGACCTAATTGACTTTTTCTTAATAGTACAAGGACTAGATTGATAGTTTTCCCAAAAATAAATAAAATCTTGATTTGTAAAAAAAGTTTTAATACTATAAAACAATATGTATCATATATCATGCATCCGTTGCTCTGGGTTTCTCAATGTCTTCCCAAATTTGTTTCTCAATTTCCACGCGAACATTGCTCATAGCTTCTTTTCTGAATCAACCATGCCTTCTCCATTCCCTTCATGTTCATAAATTGGTATTCCCATTTTGCACATGCTGGTAAAATTATGAAGTGCAAAAGTTGAGAAAATAATTGCTTGTTGATACTCTTCTTTCATTTTGGGCATGTTGTGAAGTATCTTCCACCTTTTCTTCAGATGTGAAAATGCTCTTTCAATGGTAGTTCTCAGTGATGAATGACGATAATTAAAATGTTCCATTACTCCTCTTGGTTTACCACCATCACGAAATTCTGGCACGTGTTTCCTCATTCCCGCATCATCAAATGGGGCTAAATATCCAAGTGTGTTTGGATACCCTGAATCTACCAAGTAATATTTACCTACATTTTAATTTGACTTTGTTAAAAGGATACTATTTTATATTTACAACCACCTTTAATGATAATTTTATTTGTACTTTATACCTGGTAGGGATGAGGAAAATGACATTTTGATTGCATTAAGTAATCAACCCACACTCTTATGTCATGTGCGCTTCCTTCCCGGCCAATATTGACAAACATGAATAGTTTATCAAATGAACAACATGCTAAAAACATTCCAGGTTTTGCTTCCTTTGCGTCCTCGAAACAGCACACCTTTTGCATCTGATATAACTGCTTCTATGTGAGTACCATCTAATGTTCCAACTGAATCCTAATACAATAAATAAAAAGCATAAATAAAGTCTAACACATATACAAAAATAAATGAGTTTTCATTGACTTTTAAAAACGTTGAATAATTCATAAATATACCTTGAAATACGGCTAATCTGAAGAACTGTTGAAAACAATGGGGTGGACGTCCAGCAAATTGTGATCTTGTCATACAATATCAAGGCATACAATACTAGATTGAAATATTTGCACATGGTTCTCAAATAACGTTAAAAACATCGGCTGCATATGTGTAAGAAGCTCCATTGGCCAATATATAGAGACCAATTCCAATTTGTTGTACCACATGAATGAACCTGATGTCTTTCAATAAATTTCTTTCAATCATAATATTTACAAGGTGGATGAACATTTCTCTTGTCAACCTTAATTTCTATTTACACAATTCAGGATGACCATTCAACATTCTATGTACATATTCATCCCTCGTTTCTCCACCTACTCTCATTGGTATCCTAGTCTTCTTTTGTCCAATTATTATGTCGGGGGGCAAACATTTTTTTAGCAATTGATCGCTTCATTATACATGACAATTTTGAACTTTATTGGGGGGCATATGCCCCCACTCCCTAAGCACTATATCCGGCCTAGGTAGAATTCACTAAGGAAACAAATAGAAACTTCGGTATTGAAATAATTATACGAAACAATCATGTACGTATATACGTGTGGTGTGATGCTCTGAAATTCAATTTGAAGATAATTGAATTTGAGAGCATGCAATCATGGTGAAAGGCACTTACCTGAAGAGAGATTGGGAAAGCTAACACAGAGAACGACGGCACACTCCTAGGGATCGTAAGTTTCTACCCTTGCAACAATTTATATATACATGTGAATATATTAGGGACATTTTTATTGGGCTAATATTATCTTGAAAGAATGACGGGAATAATGCTCCAGTGTTTTGCAAAGACAAAAGTAGGGCCACAATGGAATCTGGACAAAAAAGAGAGTTAAATAATCTGAAAATCCCAAATTACCCCAGCCTTTCACCTCTCTCGTATCCTTTTTTCGATCAGTCCTCTATGTGCGATGGATCTGCAAACCTCACGTCTTCGTAGTTCGAGCTCTGCCTTGGCCATATTGACGTCGTCGTCGCCGCCGCCTTCCACAGGTTCGCCATTCTTCAATTTCTTCTTTCTCTCCTTCTGGATCTCTTGGTGTTGCTTGACGGTGTTGGAAATCTTCGGATCTGAAGACAACCAAGCGAGGCGAGGCGAGCGACGACGCGGCAAGCGAAGGCGTTGAGTACATTGGTCATCGACGAGATCACGATTAGGGTCAAAGTGGTGCGATTGGGGCCTAGGGTTGGAAACTGTGGGCTGGGGGTTGAGGGGTGGGATCTGGGGACTGGGGGTGAGAATAGCTCATAGTTGTTGGGTCTGAGGGTGAAGCTGGGGGTTGGGGTAGGCTTAGAGAGTGGAGTCTACTCATCCACTGTGAATTGGAGTGGTTAGGGTGGGTTGGTGGGACAGGGGGTGGGCTGGGGTGGACTGGTGGGGAATGGGGTGTGGTGTAGGGGCAGGAGAGACGATGGTTGGGTGCGCAGGACTGCCGTCTGCCGGAGAGGGGATGGGCTGGGAGGCCGGGAAAGGGGATTCTGTGAAAGGGGCTGGGGCTGGGATGTGGATGATCGCTGGCACTGCAACGCCGGTTGCTGCCGCCAGGGGTAGCAGTCGTTTCATGGGCGGTCGTAGTGGTGGTCACAATCAAGGCAGTTGGGCACCTACAAAAAATTGGTAAATGGCTGACGATGTCACTAACCGGTATGTCACTGTGGGTGACGATGTCACTATGGACAGTGATGTCACTATTGGTGGCGGTGTCACTAGGCGGCACGTCACTATGAGTGGCATCAGTAGGGAATTCACTATGGCGGGCAATAAGGTTGGTCACTAAGACGGTGTTGTATTTGTCATTGGCCGAGTAGTTTCCGGTGGTAGCGACGGTGGTCACTGAAAACGTCCGGTAACTGGCGGCATAAGTCACTGAGACATTAGTAACTGAGACAGTGGTCACTGGAGCGGAAGTAACTAGGACGACGGTGGTCACTTGAGTGATAATAACTGAGAGGATGATCGCCGGAGCGGTAGTAACTGGGACAGTTGCCACTGGAGCAGTAGTAACTAAGTAGTAACTAAGACGGTGATCACTAAAGCGGTAGTAACTGGAACTGTGGTCACTGGAGCGCGGTAGTAACTGGGACAATTTTCACACAAACTTTAGTGTAATAATTTAAATATTTAGACCTCTATGGTTACCGGGACGGTGGTCACTGAAGCAATAGTAACTGAGACAGTAGTCACTGGAGTAGTAGTAACTGGGATAATTTCTACACAAATTTTGATATAATAATTTAAATATATAAGACTCTTATGTTTCCTTATCAAAATGTGTATCTTGAGAAATATGGAGTAATATTGAAATAAAAAGAAACATTATTTTTAAAAATGGTAATGTTACAGTGCACGGGTAAGTCCCAATTATACGGATGCAGTTTTAAAAATAGTAGTGCACCGGTAAGCATGTGCAGACGGCGTAAAGGATATCCACTTATCCTAATGTAGACTTACGAAGGGTAATTTAGAGAACCGGGTGTTTATTAGTCATACGTTTGGAAATTAAAAAATAAGTTCACTTTTTTGTCCATTTACTCTTTTTTAGTAATATTCATGCCAAAACCCCTATTATCTTTTGCTCTGTTTAAATCTAGTCTGGTCTGATTTGTGTAAGAGTGTTTTTATTTGGACTAGTATGGTCTAGTTTGATCTGATTTGAGCTGGTATGTATTGATATGATCTGGTCTTGTCTGATCTGGTTCGGTCTGGGACCGAAATCAGTCCAAGTAAAAAGATAACAATTTTCGATAATTTGGAAGGAATTTTATTAAATTTTAATTATAAATGAATAAAATTAAATTATTTATGGATTATAATAAATAAAATAAAATAAAATCTTTATGCAAAAAAACATGAAAAATAAAATTTCAGACCAGACCAAAACAGACCAAATTAGATCAGACCAAACTAAAATAGACCAGACCAGCAATTTACAATCCAAGTAAAAACATCCCAAGTCATAAAATGTTGGTGTGCTAATCACAAAATTCCTCGTACTTAATTCATTGGACTCATATTAGGGGCATTCTTATTATAAATATGGCCACAAACAAGGTCTTCTTCACCAACACTTTCATTTAGCAATTCCATTATATTCACTAAAGAAATCTTTCATACCAAGATGGTTGACATGTGATCCTTTCTCACAGACATTAACCAAATGAGGAACACATAGGCGGTCAAGGTTAGAGCTACTAAACCTACTAGAGCATATATTTCTTCAAGTCATGACACACATGAAGAATTTTTTGAGTGCATTTTTTATTATGAGAGGTACATTTATTTTAGCATATGAACCCTTCTGCCAAGGTCTTTTAGAGATTCAACTTCCTCTTAATTCTTCTTTACTTGATACCAAAATTCATGCAACCGTGCCGTTAAACCTAATCCCGAAGTTCTTTCCTTTGTCCAAAGAAGGAAGTGTATTCGCTATAAAGAATTTTGTTGTGCAACAAAACTATATGTTTTTCAAAACAACAACAAATGCATGTTTTTAAGTTACTCTTCACCAATAGGGCAGAAGCTTTTGAGATTTCAATGTCCTGTTTCCTGTGAAGACTTTAAATTTCACATCGTTTGCTATCTTACAAGGACAAGAACTCATCGGTATTTTTCATAAAAATGTGATAAAATACAATTATGTAAGTTGACCTTTTTAGATTTAATAATTCAATGAATAAATCCATTTTTAAAAACAAAACAACTTCATCAATTAGTGTTCAAAAAAATCAAACAAATAATAACATTTTCATTAGAAACATACTTAAACCGTGCTAGTTGCATGATCTAATAATAAAACACATACTTTTTTTTAACATTGCTACTTCTTATTTCAGATGCAATAAAATAAAGTGCTCATTGTAGTAAAAAATGGCAGAACAGGTTAAACAATACACCAACAGTAATCATGCATGAAGAATGCTTTTTAATCATAGAAATCTATCTGACCAAAACATTTAATGGTTGAATTTTATATTGCATAACCGTTTAAGAGACGTTGGAACTAACCAATGCATACCACATAACAAAGTTGCATATGAACTCCCTCCCTTCAATGACACCATTCGTTTAAATGTAAAGCTACAGTTATATATGTGTATATTGCTTAAAATTTGACAATGTGTAGATTGAGTTTATAGGCACTACAAGCACGACTAAGAAGCTGTTCCGTTCGTCTTAATCTTATTACTTATTCCTTAATCTTATTTTATTCAGATCAGATCAGATCAGATCAGAAAGATTCAGATCAGATCAGATCAGATCAGAAAGATTCAGATCAGATCAGATCAGAAACATTCAGATCAGATCAGAAAGATTCAGATCAGATCAGCAACATTCAGATCAGATCAGAAAGATTCAGACCAGATCAGAAACATTCAGATCAGATCAGAAACATTCAGATCAGATCAGGTCAAAAAATTCAAACATGATTTATCACTTTTATTATTATATTAATTATGATTATTATATTATAGTTATTGTTAATAATATTAATATATTAATATAATAATATTATTAATAATAATATAATAATAATGTTAATAATATAAAATTATTATTATATTATAATAATATAATATAATATAATATAATATAATATAATATAATATAATATAATATAATATAATATAATATAATATAATATAATATAATATAATATAATATAATATAATATAATATAATATAATATAATATAATATAATATAATATAATATAATATAATATAATATAATATAATATAATATAATATAATATAATATAATATAATATAATATAATATAATATAATATAATATAATATAATATAATATAATATAATATAATATAATATAATATAATATAATATAATATAATATAGTATAATATAGTATAATATAGTATAATATAGTATAATATAGTATAATATAGTATAATATAGTATAATATAATATAATATAATATAATATAATATAATATAATATAATATAATATAATATAATATAATATAATATAATATAATATAATATAATATAATATAATATAATATAATATAATATAATATAATATAATATAATATAATATAATATAATATAATATAATATAATATAATATAATATAATATAATATAATATAATATAATATAATATAATATAATATAA